TAGTCATATTGGAATACAGTGGATAAACAAGTGATTATAGGTACAATTATGTTTAAGCCACTTCCTCTCCAATTTATCTTAGGATTGGCTTGTCAAAGTTTTCAGGCTTGACATGTTTACCCTGGACTCCTGGAGGTTCAACACATAAAGCCATGACTTTCCCCGTTGTTTCCGGCGCAGGTACGACACCCTGGGTGGCGGGAGCGTCTCGGCCGATGCCTCCAGCGACAAGGCCAACAACACACCTCCCTGGTTTCCAACCATTGAATTATGATGTGACCAAAAGATACCATAAAGTGACCATTAAGGTATATAATTATGGTAACTTATGATTATGGTAACCTTATGATTAAGGTATATTATAACCTTATGATTATGGTAACCTTAAGGCAACTTCCCATCGAAAAAAACATATGTGACCATCCCAAATTGATCGCAATGTCCGGAGTTCATAATTTGGAGATGGGTCAAAACCCTGTGGTGAACATCAAAATAGATGGCAGATGTTCATCCCCCAAGGAAGGGTCTCTACATCTATTGATTCGCCATTTTTCTCCATCAGCATGAAAACCAAAATCCTTTCTCCTTTTCCAGACGACTTGTTCCTGTGAAACTGGACTTGTTCCTGTTGAGCTCGGAGTCCGTCCAGCTTCAAAAACCACGATCCATGTTCCAGAGGTCACCTCATCCGTTCGAATTCAGCTCCTGGTAGGATTTTGAGATGCTGGTGGGAGTCAACCCAAGCGCCTACATCTCACAAAACTGAGCAGTAGGAAGGTCGGTCGTTCATGCGGGTTTGTTGAAGAACTGGGGAGATCTCAAACATTGCTATTCTATTGAATAAAATCATGTTCATTAAACCATGTTAAACCATGTTAAACCATGTTAGACCATATTCATCTCTATTAAACCATGGGAACTTGATTTTCATATGTTTAGACAAACCCACAAGTCGCCTCCGACGTGTTTCAAATAGGTAGCTGTTGCATTCTGTGTGAATGAAGCAGTTAGGCAATCAATGGGCCTGTCCTCAAAAAAAGTTGGGAAGTCCTTCCCCTTCCTATAGTGGGTAAAGCATGGTGAAACCCCCAGCATCCCCCAGCAGTTTTATTTTTTGGGGGAAATGAAGGCGGAAATGAGACGGAGAAGTGATTTTGGGACATGCCCAAGATGAAGCTATTGGTTTCTATGAGATGGCTACAGAAAAGGTGCCCTCTGCCAAGCCTGTGGTATGTGGTTCGTTTTCATGAAGAATTGTGGGTTCGAAGCCTCAAATGGCAGAGCATCTCTTCCAGCAGCGCTAAATGGCAGCCATTTCAAGTCAAGGAGGATCCCCCCGCTTCCTTGTGAGCTTGTCAGAGAAGGAACCATTACTTCCTGCATTCGCTGGAAAAGCTCTTCAGCATCTATGTACAAGGCGGGGATTTGACCAATCTCGCCATATCTCCAAACCCAGTTGGATGGGGAGAGGGCTGGTGACTTCACAACTTGCATATTTTTGGGGCTTGGTGGCTGAACCACAAACCACATCAAACCACCATTTCCAGCGGATGCTATTGGTTTCCCTTTCGAAAAATGACCCATTTTGGATGATTTGGCGGTCCGCATGGCAGCCAGGCCATTACAGTCTTCTTTTTGTTGGCGTGGCAAAATGCCTTTGCAGGCCGCAGTTTCGCATCGCTCTTCGCAGGGCAAACATGCGGGATTTACCCCCATCCAATTTTCAGAGAAGCTCATTTCTGCGATTTGTCTCCCCATGTCTTCTCATTTTTTCTACTAGAACCACAAGACTTGCCCAATTCCTGTTCGATGCCCCTCTCTGTGGGACCTAGGCGCCACGCTGCTGAGTGAGCTCGAGGAAGAACTTCCAGAAGAAGAGACGTCATTCATGCAGCTGGTATCCCCAGATTCGTGGCTTCTAGCCTGAAAGAATTGTAGTTCGTTGCTGAAAATGGAGACCCTGCAGCTATTTGAATATTTTGAATGGGGCAAAATGATCTAAAATGATCTAAAATGATAAGCCGCTGGCTTTGGCAATTGGGAGTACCCTATTTTCAGACAAATCACAGCCATGGCGGAGAAGATCCGACCGCAAAACGATGACGTTGATGACCGTCATACCGCCATGAGCGGAGTAAATGGACAGGTGAAGGGTTGATGGCTTCATTTTTAGCCACTTTATGGTCAAATTGTCGTATATATATATGCACATATAATTGTGTATATATATATAATTATACACATATATATATAATTATATACACATATATATATATAATTATATAAACAATTATATATAATTATATATCTATGTGTTTATATACATATATGTATATACATTTATTTTCACTAAAGAAGATCTATTGAGAATTAAGTCGCATAGTATGTATATATATATATACCAATATATATATATAAACATAACCCACCAGACAACGCCATCCTTCGCCACGCAGGGTGGGCATGAGCAAGCCAGTTGCACGTCCTCGTAGGACGGGCAGAACGTGGGGCGGCTCAGAACGTAGGAGGATCACGGGGGCTCTGAATTTTGATCTAATGACTAATGATTAGTGACTAATAGTGATTAGTGACTAATAGTGACTAATAGTGATTATAGTGATTATAATAGTGATTAATAGTGATTATTTGGGCTATCTATATGATTAGTGACTAATAGTGATCATAATAGTGATTAATAGTGGTCAATAGTGATTAATACCTGATTAATGTGGGTAAAACAATGATAAACCAATATAAACCATCCCCCAGTCATCACCATTTTGATAGGTGGTATGGTTACCATTCCCAGTCATTTTTGTGGTAAAAATGGCGCTTTGTTTTACCCACATTACTTTCAGAAGTACTTTCTGTACTGACATGATTTGGATTGTGTTATATCACCTCGATAATGTTTAGTATACATGTATATATATATATATCATTATATATATGATGATTTGTCAAAGGGAACATTGGGGAAGCATGAAAACCTGCTGATGCCTCCTCAAGCCATCCTGAACATATAGTTGATTTCATCTTATATCTTAATTTCATCCTAATCAAGAATCGGGTAACACACGATACCTCATCCTAAGTTTATGGGCTTTTGTCAAAAATTTGGTGTACATTTTCCGTCTTTTCACCATTGGTTTTAAAAACTGACCTATGAATTGGATGATGACTTGTCGTTCCCCATGTTAAGAACACCCCCTACAAGGGGAACCATGAAGACATGACGTTGTAGCATTTTGATGCATTAAGATCCTGCATTTCATACATGACTTGAGTTCACATATTTCAGATTGGTGACTTACAGTACAATTCATTGGGTATGTCTGAAATGTGACGGGGAGTTGAGGTAGGTAGGCAGGGAGGTCGTCAATTCGTGGATTGAAAGAATGATTGAAACTAGGCATGTACGCGATCAATGAAAATTCAATCAGCAACAAAAGGGCAAACTTCGGGGATATCATCAAACATAGGCAGTGCTTCTTTGTCAAATTCTATTTGAACATGTGTGATGGTTTATTCGAGCAGCGCAACAACTGCATTCTCCATTCTTGAACATGCTCTTGATATAGATAGGTGGGGAACTCCAATTATTGCGTAGAACACATGTACTAAGTACTAGGAAACAACATGTTCTTGCTCATGGCTCTGGATCAAACCTGAGTATGTTCCTTAAAAAATAACATATTGTTTATCAATCCTTTCTCCCTAATAATAAAGACAATTGGTTGAATGCTGAATGTATTCATGAGTTGGGGTCTTAAAAAAGTTGCATAAATGGCATAAAACACTAAAGGGAGATGGGAATACAATCACAAAGTTGTATTTATCACAATCATAAAAGGGTACGGTAATTATGAATTAATCGTTCAGAACATTCAAATGTGACTCTGGAGATCTGTAGACTGAGGGCCAGCGCCGAGTCTGAGGAGGAGGAGATCTGGGAGAAGTAAGCAACGACCCACGACATCACAATACTTGACACTTAGGAAAGGGAATATCCATGCAGGAACATATCCAGGAAATCCCATGAACCATCCGAAAAAGCGGACTTGATAACAGATGTTGGGTCAGTTTAAATAAGACAAACCATTTACAGGTCGTTCATTAACCACCAAGAATGGGGAATACGGAGGTTTCCTGAAATGGGGAAAAACAACGAAGATGGATTTTCCATGATATAAAATGATATACTGTAAACCATCCAGCTATTGGGGTACCTCCATTTATGGAAATCCCCATAATGTGGGTAAAACAATAATAAAGCATCCCCCAAATCACCATAAATAGATATAAGTAGGTGGTACAAACCATTCCCAAATGGGTGGTTTATTATTGTTTTACCCACATTATAACATCTCCAGGATCTCCCACTCTTTCGCTTGTCACGGTGTCACCTTCTTTTCTTCATCAGGACGAAGACAGCCCGAGCTTGTTGCAGTCATCCATCCAGAAACGAGGCCAAGCCGCTCCTTCATTATTGTCATTGGGACAATTATAGTGGGATAATACTACATAATGATAAATGATAATGATGAAAATCATAATAATGATATGGAGGGGTATTTTTTTTTGCATTTTTTTTGTTGGCATTTTTTTTTTTGGCTTCTGGCTTCTGGCTTTTGGCTTTTGGCTTCTGGCTTTTGGCTTTTGGCTTCTGGCTCCTTCGGTTTCTGGCTTCTGGCTTGTATTTGCTGCATTTTGGAGCCAAAATCTCTGATTTGCGTGCTATTTGCTGCAGTTTGGAGCCATTTGCATGCCCATTTGGCTTTTGGCTTTTGGCTTTGGCTTCACTTGACTCTTGGCTTTTGGTTTTTGGTTTTTGTTGTTTTTTTTGGCTTTGGTTTCACTTGGCTTTTGGCTTTTGGCCGCACTTCTGTTGAATGTATGTGTAGTATTGTAGTTTGCATATAACATTTCATAATTTCATAGAATACACTGCATATAAATTGCATGTAAACTGCACAGAAACTACAGTCGTAATATGAGCTTATATGCATGCTGTTGTGAGAGGAATTGAGACCTGTTTTCAACAAGTGTCCCAACTACTTGCTGTTCCTAAAGTTCTTAAGACCCTATTTCAAGACACTGTTGAACTGTTGTTCTCCAACTATATTTGCTTGAATCGTGTTTCACAATGGTTGCATGGCAGTCAGAAGTTTCCCTGTGTACCTTTGAGTTTATATGCATGCTTATCGGAGAGAAACTGCAACCTTTTTCAACATCAAGTGTCCTAACGAGCTCTTTTTTTTATTTTTTATATCTGAAAAAAGGTATCTCAGGACACTTGTTGAATCTGGCCTCCTACTATATCTATGTGAGTTGATGTGTGTGAAACCCTAAAGAGACCCCAAATGACACCCTAAACGAACCCTAAAGAAACTACAAATGAAAACCTAAAGAAACTTTAAATGACACCCTAAAGAAACCCTAAATGAAAGCATCAATGAAACCCTACAGAAACCCTAAATGAAACCCCTAAATGAAACGCCAAAGACATCGTAAAAGAAACCCTAGATGAAACCCTAAAGAAACCCTAAATGAAACATATTTTTTGCATTGTTGCCTTCATTTTTCCATAGGTTTCAGTTTCTTCATTTTTATATACATGAGTTTTCTTCATGCCTTTACCTTCTGGCTTAGCACGGTGTGCAAGTCGCATAGCACGCATTGCGGGGGGAGGCGCTGCGCCCTCCCCCCGCGCCCCCCACCTGCTTTTTTTTAAACATCCGACCCTCCCTTTGCTGGGAAGTCGACGACGACGACGACAACCACAACCACAACAACCACAACCACAACCACAACCACAACCACAACCACAACCACAACCACAACCACAACCAGCACCACAACCGCCACAACCGCAACAATTATTAAAAGATAGATAGATCGATAGACAGAGGAATAACTGCGATAGAAATAGGAAAACAACAGCAACAACAACAACAACATTAACATTAACAACAACAACAACAACAAGAAGAACAACAAGAACAAAGTAACAAGACCCAGTAACAAAACCCATATACTCAACAATTATTGAAAAGAGCCCTCCTCCCGCGCCCCCCACTTTTTTAAAAAAAATCCGACCCTCCCCTTGCTAGGAAGTCGACGACGACGACGACGACAACGACAACCACAACCACAACAATCACAACCACCACCACCACGACAACAACAAGAACAACAATAACAACAATAACAACAAGAACAACAAGAACAACAAGAACAACAAGAACAAGAAGAAGAAGAAGAACAACAAGAACAACAAGAAGAACACGAAGAACAACAAGAACAACAAGAACAACAAAAACAACAAGAACAACAGTAACAACAGTAACAAAGAACAAACAACAACAACAACAACAACAACAACACCAACAACAACAACAACAACATCAACAACATCAACAACATACAACAACATACAACAACATACAACAACAACAACAACAACAACAACAACAACAACAACACCAAGTCCAAAATCATGCAAAGGAGGGAAAACTAATGAGTAGGACGGAAAAATCGATGAACAACGCTAAAAAAGCAATGACAAATATAGAAAAACGTAGAACAAACAATGTAAAAGCGAAGAAAAACAAGAAAAACCATCGAAAAACTGAGGGAAACGCTAGTTTTTTTTGAAAACTATGGAAAACTGATGGAACGCGCTAGAAAATCATAGAGAACTATGGAAAATGGAGGAAAAACGCTGGAAAACTAGCGAAAACAATGATGAAAACTGCTGGAAAAACAATGAAAAAGCAAGGAACCCAACCCCGAACCAAAAAAAAAATGCAAAAAAAAAAACAACTTAATTCCACGCCCTAATGATAATGACAATATTGGGATATAACTATAATGGCATATGATGGCATAGTCACAATGATAATGATAATAATTGAGAATAATGATAAGCAGTTCAAAACTCATGGAGTAATGATAACGAGAATGACAATCCATTTGATAACAATGATAGTGACACTGACACTTGGATCATAGTTGGCACATTTCGAACTACTTGGACAATCATTTATAATCATTGGGATAAATATACGAATTTTTCATTGGGACAATAAAATTATACCCTTTTCGGATAAAAATCGGATAATCATTGTCCCAATTTTTAGGAGGATTAGGATAAGATCATTGGGATCATTGGGATCTCCCTTTGGATACAGCAAAGCTGGTAACCTCCTCGCGTCAACGAAGCCTCTGCAGCACGGCCGCAGGAAGGTTGGAGGATTTTGAGAGCGATGAGTTTTCCATGTAGCCAACCACGATGTTACAGAGCAGCAGAGCCAGGCTGCCTCAAAAGATTGGGACGGGGAGGGAATATCTTTAGAGGGGGCATTGAGTTTTCTTGTCCTTTTCAGGAAATTGCAACTGCTCTGGTTCTTTCGAAGACCGGATTGTTGGATTTTGTGACTTGAAGCAACTCCCACGACTGAAGCTTCGACATGAGCATGGAGGATTTCATGTGTATCATACTATTCCAAATATTGGCAGCTTATGAAAATATATTTATATTTGCAGTTATATATATATGATTATTACACATTTATATTCATATTTATTATTTGTATATATATATAATTACATAGTATATCTCATGCCTGGTTGCTGGTTTCAAAGGTTTTTCTTTGCACCGCAATGTGCTGATGATGCCACCATATCCCAGTTCACCTACCACCTGAAACAGAAACATGGCTCTTGGACTGTTTGTGAAGTATTGTGTGTAGTGATATCAACCAATGTAACATATAAATCATATAAAGATATTAATGCATATTAGTTGATTAGATACTAATACACTATCTATGATACATATGGCAGTGTGTCAAAACCTTGTACCCCTGGTGAACCCCAAAATAGCTGGTAAATGGATGTTCATCCCACTAAAAATGGTATTAATAGGTATTGATCCATACCCATATTATTATTCTCTATAGCTATCTCATTTTTTTACCCACCCAAGTAGTGTTTCTTTTCTGGAGGTGCAGCGTAGAAGGCTCCACCGGCTCCACCCTGCTGCGTTGTTGCCTCAGCTGGTGATCTAACATAGCCATGGCATAGATGACCTTTTTTTATAGATGATGGACCTACGTTAGAAATGCTAGAAATGCTGATTTTGAATAAAGCTATGTTGGTTTACTGGAGTGTATGCTGAAATATGGGTTTATGTTGTTTTATTTATATTGGTTTTTAATGCTTTTGGGTATGGAAATGGGTTGACATGTTTTTGGGGGGGGAGCACTTGATCTGGACATAGGATGAAATGTGCATCAATTGTTTGTTGCATTAATTTTTCTCTGAAACTAGCGTATCCCGGCAAAGTTCATGGTCAAGAACCTCAATTCCCCATTAAAATCCACCAAATTTCCCATGATTTTCCCATGACTTTCAAAGCCATCATGGCCGTGTCCCGGTTCGATGACGGGTCGTTGGGATTTCACTGGTGAAACCTCTGGTTTACAGTAGATCTACCGTAGATCTACAGTTGGATGCAGTTTTTTGAACCAACAGTACCCTCTGGTAAACTAACATAGCTATTGAAAATCACCATTTTTAATGGGAAAACTCACTATTTCTATGGCCATGTTCAATAGCTATGTTAAATTACCAGAGGGTAGAGAGCACCAATTAGAGTGATGCAGCAGGTCCTCTACATCCCATTGAGGTGGACTGTTGCTGAACAGATCTTACCAAAAAAAAAGAGCGGTTGCGCGAGCCCGCGCGTACGTGCAGTTTCATCAGGATGAAACTTATTTAAGGATTTCCGAGATTGGAATTTTTCAGATTCAAGACTCAAGATGACTTAAGATTGTTTTTGTTCATTTACGTCATGGGCATTTTCGATTGGATTGACTGAACTTGAAAAAAGGTGCCCATGCCGGTTTCACCGTCTAGTGTAAGGTTGTAATCAAGTTTGGGGCATGCACATTGATTTTTGGCAAACTGAGCACGTTCGATATTTTTTGCATGATGGCACCCGACATAAATGGACGATCTGCCCCCTAAAATGACTTGTGAATGGCGCTGTGTAGGCTCTCTAACATTTCCATGTTTGAATTTGTGGGTGCAATTGTTTGGTATCATGATCAGAGGGAGCAGCTGGTGGAAGTCAATTTCTGATCCACGTCCACTTGGGAATTTGGCATAACGTCAATTTTTGGATCCAAGTTTCCATTTCAGGTACCCTTCAACCATAGGTTGCATCACGTAGTCATATAAGACTAATTATGAAACTACATACATACATACATACATACATACATACATACATACATACATACATACATACATACATACATACATACATACATACATACATACATACATACATACATACATACATACATTACATACATACATACATACATACATACATACACATACATACATACATACATACATACATACACATACATACATACATACATCATACATACATACATACACCTACATACATACCTACTACATACATACATACATACATACATACATACATACATACATACATACATACATACATACATACATACATACATACATACATACATACATACATACATACATACATACATACATACATACATACATACATACATACATACATACATACATACATACATACATACATACATACATACATACATACATACATACATACATACATACATACATACATACATACATACATACATACATACATACATACATACATACATACATACATACATACATACATCCATACAATTACATGCATACATGCATACATGCATACATGCATACATGCATACATGCATACATGCATACATGCATACATGCATACATGCAAACATGCATACATGCATACATGCAAACATGCAAACATGCAAACATGCAAACATGCATCCATGCATCCATGCATTACATTACATTACATTACATGACATTACATTACATTACATTACATTACATACACGTATTACACGCACAATCATTTAATTGTACTCTACACAAAACATGCTGTACATGCTGATCCAGTACTCTTGGCAAAATCCCTGCAGCTCAAGCCTAGAGACAGCACCCGGCACCGGGTGCTTTTGCCGGTACCAAAAGGTGCCCCTTGGGCCCCGCAGTTGCACTGACGCCTTGGGAAGATAGATGGGGTACCCTCTGGTAATTTAACATAGCTATTGAACATGACCATTTATAGTGGATTTTCCTATTAAACATGGTTATTTTCCATAGTAATGTTAGTTTACCAGAGGGTACCACTTATGTATTGGATCTATGAATATTTTGCTGGAGCCTCATATACTTAAGATTCATTACGCTGTACAGTACTTGTTTATTCTACACGTGATTTTCGGAGACTTGCTTGGTACTCTACCAAGTATCTTCAAATACATTCAAATCTGGTGATACACTATGATGTACAGTACTTGGTAGTTGTTGTTGATTTTGTACTTAGTTTTTTTTCCTCATCACAATCATTAGTGGTTTAATGGTCCCTAATCATAGGCCTGCCCGAATCAGACAACGACCTCACTGGTCCTTTTTGAACTGACATGATGGGAATTGGACTGGGGTAATCATTCCCAAATGACAATATGTTAGGTTGGTGAAATATTTTCATTCAGCCAGATATTTGAAGGTTGGACAGATCTCAAGTTCTGACGATTTTGAAGATATTTTAAATACCCAGCATCCCCGTATTAAACATATTGTTTATGTTGCGAGCGCAAGCATGATTTTGAACCTTTGCAAAGGATCTATATAGATTGATCTTTTGATGGAAGGATTTTGAACTCATGAATTTTGAATTAAGGCTGACCAGATTGGCCATTTGAGCCACAATTTGTAACATCAAAAGGTTCTGCTGAATCTGCGGGGTGAAGACTTCATTTTCCTGGCCTCTCCTGAAACTGTGGCACCCATTTCTCAGGCCGATGATCAATTTCATTCTTCTCATCAGCCGGCAGGGCAAAACGAGGCCAGGGGAGGTGGAATCTTGGTGGTTTCTCTAAGACTCTAAGATTTCGACTGCCATACAGGGGGGGGGGGTTTAAGCCACTTCACAATTGACCAATGGTTTCAGCATGTTTCAGCCTAGTGTTCAAATGAGGCTTGTAAGCTGTTTAATCTGGTTTATTTGTTTTTTAGATTTATATAGTTATTTGATGTTATTTGCGTTTTGCTGTTCAGGTCATTGCTGCATTGAGTAGTGGCCAATCACAGCACCAGAAACATATTTTGCCCCATTTTCCTCGTTCACTGGCCCCATTTTCTGGATTTTTTTACGGTAGAATGGGATGAAACCACACGCCCGTTATATATCCTCACCATCCAAGTATACATATATATATATATGATATATATATATATATATATATTATATATATAATATATATATACATATTGAGAATCTCTGATATATCTTGGGTTATCTACATCTGACCAGCAACTTCCCATTGCCGAAGGATTTTCTTCTCCAGAAACAGGTACGAAACAAGAATTAGGTACACCATGGTACACCTACCTTTGGACACCCTTGGATGGATTGCGGGGCCTGAAATTGTGACCACCCCAGTGGGGTCTGAAAGTCAGGGACATATCTGACTGGTGATCCTCATTTCATCAAAAATGGCCATAAAGTGGCCATAAGTTGAGGGGAATTTCGGAATCCCCCATTTGTTGACCCATGCCGTGCCAAAGGCTGAAGAAATGGTTTGTGCCATGTCCAGAACGTGATCAGTTCAGAACCATCAAGGAGGCAGGGTGAACTCGGCGACATCCCGTCAAAACCATCATGAGATTAGAATCAACATAAACAATAGCAGTTTAAACTTGTCTAAACACGATGTTTTGACTTCGTTGAGTGCCTTATGTTTCATGGAACATCTTGTCATGAAAAGAGAATTTATAGCAAACATAACGAACCCGAACATTATGTAGTCTCATTCATTTTTAATCATGATACTTTTACCTAGAAATCATTTGATTTTTTAATTTTCTTTTTGATTGTTCACTCCGCTTCTTTTCTCTTTCCTTCCTACTTTTCACAGAATTTTCTCTGCACCTTTTCCTAGCAGGGCCCCTCTTTCCAAAACAGCTCAGCCCTTTCCAAAAAAGGCCCGATATTGTTCTTCAATTTCTTATTTTTCTTACATTCTGATTAGATATCCGTGCAAAATCATACTACTGTATAGTACTGGTATTTCATTGAACCAATGCTACCCCTTCAAAAAATCATCCTTCCAATCCCGTAAATTTTCACAGCATGGGTAAATCATTTCTTTTTAAGAATGGAATATCTAGATCAAAAATCAGAAATTGTATCAGACAATTCTGGTGAAGCTTCACTATGTCCTTACATGTAGAGTTTAAGGAAGGGAGGCAAAGAAAGCAAAACAAACACCCACCAAAAATGGCGCATTTCCCATTTCAAACCAATTAAAAACGGGTGGCGCACACACACACAAGAGTCACAACCCACCCAGATTACATCATTTCCGCTATTGCAGCCATGACTTGCGAGATTAGACGCATGATTTTAGTATAGAAATTTCAACCACAATTTAGCGGAAACACAGTGCCCAAACCGCAAAGTCAAGGTTTCCATTCTGGGAGCCACAGTTCCCAACCTGTGAAAGAGCAAACATAAATTGGAACCCAGAAGCTTCAACACTCCTTCCAGCAATTAACATCTATAAAATGTATAGTATAGTATCATGGAACACGCTATAGGTAATCTTCTGAAATATGTTTTGGCTGAAATACCCAAAAGGAGAAGGACATGTCTTAAAATCAATCATCATATATATATATATATAGATGGTATAATAAAGTATATAATAAATAATATATAATATATGATATATGATACATGATAATATAATATATATATATATATTACATAATATATAGTATATAATATTTAGTATATAATATTGTCACCCTAGGGTAAACTAACATAGATGTGGAATACCCATGTTCTCCCCAGGAAAATCCTTTGCACATGCTTGATTTTCCACATCTGGCAGGTTAGCAGCCTCATCCTGAATCGATCGCCAAAGGTGGCTGACTGTCAAAGAGCGATGCAGTCCTTGTTGTCCGAGTCAACAGGAGTCAATCGTCCAGGTAGGCGCTCAAAAATATCAGAAAATCTTATATCTAATTAATAGTGTAATCAGATTAGTGTTAGCCAGATTTCATAGGATTCCCCTGTTTTTTTTGGGGGGGAAGAATCGTGATATCATTCCATTATATTCCATTGAACTGGCCATTTTGTCGGGTTTACCAACGAAACATAGTCTTTCTAAATGTTGTAAAGCCATTGCCGTGTTATTGGTAGCCTCCATCATGCCTTTTTGATGATGATACCCAATTGGGTTCTTTTTGGACCGGTTCCTCTTTGATACAGAAACTCTTGAGCCATGTTTTTTTTTTTTATGTCATTGTAGGCACTGACTGCAAGTAGGTAACGGTGGAACTACCCAGTGAATTTTCACATTTTCAAATACTATGGTCACTTTTCTGAACATGTTGTTTTTTCTTTTTTAAATCGTCATAGACCTGCACACTGTACATATGATGATTTGCGGTCACAGCTGAGACGCTTGTTTCAGGTTTGCAACTTCCTCGAATGGCGAGACTTCAAGCTTTGCTACAAGCGCTATGCTAGGCGTGGGGTAACAGAATCAGATTGGTCCGATCCTGGCAGAAGAGAGGCAATTTCCATCAACTTCCACTTTTTTCCCTGATTACACAATTGTATAATATATAATTATATAATTGTAACATATTGTAACCTATACTGTAAATGGAACTACAAGGAACAAACCAATCATAGACAAATGGTGGATTTCAGTCGTCAGTTCCCAGGGTCCTCGGTTGGGATGTTCGGTCAGTGATCCCCCAGATTCACGACAAATCCATGTGGATATACTAATCAGCTACCCTCTAAACCAGCATAGCTATGCATATCACCATTTGTTATAGCTATAAAATATATTTTTATGGGCAGTTTGGAACCATAGCTATTTATATAGTTTCCTGGAGGCTAAAAAGAAGTAAACAACAAATGCAGTGGCAGGGAATCCAAGATTGGCCATGTGAAAATCCCGTACTGAGCCGTTTGCCGCCGGCAGTTTGTTCTTCATCGCCTGCATCGAGCAGAACGACAACGAATTGCTGGCTTTAGAGACCGCTCGGGGTCCCAGTTGCCACATGGGTGTGTCGGACATTGGGGATGTCCCAATATTAAGGGAAGTTTTTGATAAGGAACATGATGCCTGATGCCATCACATTTCGGGGTAGTAACCTTACTAATCCTTTCCCTATTACTAAACGTCCCCCAAATACTAAAAACTAGGGTCCATCTCCCAGTTTGGAAAATTTCAGGTTGGCCAATTTGACTTTTAATTAATCCCCTTTAGAAAACAATTTAAAAATAAAGCTATATACCTTTTGCTGGGTTTTGCACCCTAATAATAAAAACTAGTTAACCCCGGGGTGTTTATTATTAGGTCCGTCCGAAAATGTTTATTTTTTTATTTTTGGCAATTTAATTGATTTTGAAATCGAACAATTAGCGGACCCTAATAATAAACACCCTGGGGTTAACTAGTTTTTATTATTAGGGGGCAACACCCACAAATGGTAGCTTTATTTCTAAATTGTTTTCTAAAGGGGATCAATTAAAAGTCAAATTGGCCAACCTGAAATTTTCCAAACTGGGCGATGAACCCTAGTTTTTAGTATTTGGGGGACGTTTAGTAATAGGGGGAAAGGATTATTCATGTCCTGGAAAAAAACTGTTGGGCATTTTTTGGTGACCCCTGTACACAAGAACATGGATTAATCAGATACTGTACAAAGACATGTTTCCTGCAGAACTCCTGGATGGAGCCCCAAAGGCAAACATTCACGGGTTTCTGGGGAAGTGTTCCCAGTCCTAGAACCGTCTGGTCATTGTATGTAATATACACAGGTCATATTTTGAGGAGCTGTGGGAAAAAGTCAGACATGGGCCACCTTGGAATCGGTTGCTTTTCCGTGGCTTTCTGCTCCTTTTCCAAGAAATTCCCTCGCAACCACCGGGAGGGGAACCTGCCAGGTCCACCATTTCGTGGAATGCCTGGATCGCTACTTTGGCAACGTCTGCGAGCTGGACTTGATCTTCAACTTTCACAAGGCTGGGTGCTGTCAATGCCGGCATGAACGACTGAACAACACCTTTGTTTTGATATAGCCATCCACTAGCATCAGTGTTTTTCGATACCAGTAGAATGAACATTTGAATAATCATATCCGGGAGATGTTTGTTGTCACGACCATTTGAGCCCCTGATTGAAACATAGCCACATAGCCGGGGCAGGGTCCGGCCCGGCCAGGCGTACTATATCCTGGATGAAATCTTGATCAGTGGAGAGCTTCAGGAGCAGCCCTTTACTGAGTTGGCTCATTTAGTTGGACAGGTCTAGTATATCTCAAACATGGGTATATATATATATTGTACTACAATGGTGATTAATGTTGTATATATATATATATCTATAATATAATGAATATATGATTGAAAAAAATGTGGACATATACTAAAATTATGATATGATATAACATAATATGACCAACATGATATGATAAATGTAAATATATGTATATATATAATATGTATGGATATGTATGGATGTGTGTGAGAATGGATGCCCTTCATTTTTTCATATTTGTTTCACAGAGCCAATGATAACTGATCAACCAGTGGATTGAACATGTGAATCAAAAAACAAAGGATTTAGTGAAACTACCATCTGGTTATTTAACATAGCCAGGTTACCTATAAAAAATGGTGATTTTTCCATGGCTATGTTAAATTACCAGAGGGTAACAGAGTTTGTTAGTCTGAGGTTGACTCAGTTACTGCTTCATTTTTTTGAGGGACACATGATTGTATCATATTGTATCATATTTATATTTTCTTTCCAACTATTTGTTTCTGTTGACCAGGCTACCGGTGGAATTTGCGTCGGGATAAATTTGGTAATGTATGGGTTTATACACTACATAGCAAATTTTATGCTGGTTTGCAAGCTTGATGGTGCATTTTTGTTTTCCATGAATGTGGGTTTCAACTTTTTTGGGAAACTGGGCCATACATATCCATAAATTTGAATAAATGATGCATGCTATCCAATTAAAAATGTCTGGTCGTTGTCTGCTGGTTGGTGAGTGGAATGCTTCATTCTTCCTGTAGATAATCTGTAGATAAATGGGAGTGTTCATTTTTTTGTGCAGGGCGTTTGAGATGAGTTACGAGTCTTGAATTTATCAAAAACGATGCTAGTTTTCCAAATGGATAAGCCAATCCTCATTTTCCAAGAAGTTTTGTCACTAACTTCTTATCCATATAGATGGTTAATTTTTTTCCAGATGGATAACACGTGAGTCACTCCTTGGGTCGCAACACGACTGAGCAGTGGCTGCGTTCAAGCGTTGGTCGATCGCAGGAACGATGAAACTTCAAAAATATCATCCATATATTAGATGTTTATTAAAGATGTGTACATGTTTATTATTCCATTACTCAGCAAGCATTTAGATGTTTATTAAAGAATTGTAGAGATTCACAAAGATATATGATATAAGATAGATATATATATATATATGATATAAGATATATATATATAGATATATATGATATTCAGCCATGGAATCCCTATCCAACGAGTTGAAACAGGGGTGACTCTGAGTCATTCGTTACTTGGTCCAGGAGTCCAGCAAAAGAGCCGTGCTCCACCATATCTCCGAACAGGCCGATCCCGGCTGGGAAACCAATCCAAAAGGTGGGTCCAAAGATCTGATTTTTCTGACTTTGTTTATGTATATATATTATATATGATATATATGATTTATATATTTAGATATATTCTATGTTATATATATATATATTTAGATATATTCTATGTTTTATATGATATATATTATATAAACATTATATATATATGCTATGACTTCTAAAATCCTCCTAAGATTTGGCCTTTGATTTTTGCAGGAAGCAATCGACCATCGGCCAAGTGTTTTTTTGACCAAGCGGAGCCATGGCAGGATGCCATGATGCAAGAGAACGAGCAGGTGGGATTTGTGACTTTGTTACATACCCTCTGGTAAATTAACATAGACCCTGGCAGATAGGGGTTGGAAGTCTAGTTTCCATTAAAAATTGGCTATTTTCAGGGTTTATGTTTATTTACCATAGGGTATATACTAGGTATATATATATATATATGTGCCAATAACTATAACTATATCCCCTTCATATTCCATTGACATTTTTTAAAATGGATAAAAATGGGCCAATCCTCTTCCTGGTGGCTGCTGGTAATGTTCTTCTAATGTTTTCTCTTTGTGTCTGCCTTGCAGCAATACCACCCAAGGCAAAAAGAAAAGGCTGATCTGCTGCGACGACGTGTCCTGCATGTGATTTGGGATTCCCAATGAAAGCAGAGGGAACTTCCGCGAATGGCAGAAATATACGCTGGCGAACAGCTGCAGTGATGTCGTCGGCGAAGCGAAAAGAAGGGCTGCGATCAGTATCCCCAACGCCTGAAAGCCTCCCTGGTGACAAAACGGACCAAGTCTGTGATGAAGTTTGTGGGCGGGTCCCCAATTCAGCCAGAAATTTCATGAATTGGCCCTACAACTTTGCTTAGGCTCAAGAATTGCTGACCACTGACCATGCATGCGGTAGAATAGCCTAAGCATTTGAAATTGTAGACCCTCCATTTTGAATCAACAACTCACTACGTTTGCTAGTTCAGTTCAAGCTTCAATTCGCTGGGACACATTTGGTCACAGAAATCTTTCGGATTTTGACAAATTCTTACCTCTGGACAGCAGATCCCTGTCTCACATGTTGCAGTGTTTTGCCATCTGGGAATTTCTGTCAAAATATCGGCACCGTGACTCTTCGAATTACGCCACTTTGCTCCAAGTCAACTTGCCTTTTGATGCCTTTTGCTCATTTAGTGCACACCCCAAACTGCTGGCGTTACAAAAACTGGACTTTGAAGGGTCCCATATCGCGTGCCACGACTCGCACGACTGGGTGGCAGCTGACCTTCATTGATCTGCCATGGCGCAAGATGATGCAGCCGAACGGCATCAGGCAGTGATAGAAGAGCAACAGTTTTTCTCAATCAGTCTGTTTTTTTTTAAACAGTAATCCTTATACTGACTATCCCCTTTCAATTTTGGTGGAAGAACCACCAAGTTGTTTCGTGGATTTTTTGTTGGTTGAGTTCCAATGGTTCTTTATCCAAAAGTTAGACTCACATAAAAAAATCACAGTGTGTTTCAAGTTGTGTTAAACCCAAATGCTTGTTGAATGACTGTGAATTTTAGTCACTTCAAACGTCAAATCCAATTCGGTGAGGCGGAAGCCGCGCGCCTGCGAGCGGAGATTGAAGAACTGGTCCAGCGGGTCCCTTTGGTCCCAAAATGATGGGAACGATGATGGGAGAATGATGGAATTTCCCCAAAATTTCCTCCAGAAATTTGATGGTTTGTACTCGATATGGGATGATATGGGTTTATAGTCAGGTTCCAAAGTTTTTTTTTTTAATATTTTGGGATTATAGTTATACCCGATTTTTGGAGACATCCAATTCAGAAGTGAAAGATGGTGAATTCCTTCATTTCCTGGAGAGTCAGAATCAGAAGTTTGATTCGCTTCCTTTGGATATTTGATTTTTCTGGGGGTATCCAAATGTTGGATGGTTGATATTTGTGAAAGTGGCTTAAGTGCGCTGTGGGTCGCTGTTGGTGGTTCTGGATGAAATAAAAAGGAACCAAGAACTCAGACCTTGGTGACCGTAGATTTTGAGTGGGAAAGCATCCCAATTTTGAGGAGAAGTTTCTATAATCACTGCCGGCACAAATGACTTGATGATGATTACTTTGGGTCAGAACTATACTAATTATCTTCCTGTATATGACCATACTATGACCCATAGAGAATCTACATGTATCATATAATATCATATATCCATAGTTATACTATACTATACGTATTACTATAATTTACTATATATATATATAAGTTTATGTATATATGATCCAACTCGCGTCAACGTTTAAGCGTGACTTTCCACGGTGGTAATAATTCCCTGGACCCCCGGGAGGCCGGAGCCAACTCCCAGTGGCGTCACGGTGGTCTATGGACCAGCCGAATTGGTGAATTCTATTGGAATATGTTGGAATTATAGATGATATATAATATATAGTTATTGTGATCAATATAATTCCAATATCAATATAATCACACTACAGTTGATATAATTCCAATAATTCCAATTATATATCTACAACATATTGGTGATGATATATATAGTGTGATTATATTGATATTCCAATATGGAATTATATTCTCATTATATGGAATTGGTGAATTATATTGATGAGCTAATATTGGAATATTTCTGGTGAGATATAGTGTGATGAAATCTTCCATGAGCTAATATTGGAATTATAGAACTGTTTTTGGATGACATATCATATTTTGTTGGTGAATTATATCGCCAAATATCGCCAAATTGTTGGTGAATTATTATCCCATGCCTTCTCCCATTGACTTATCATTATATCCTCATCAAATCCTAAAATAAGAAAATTCCATGAAAATGCAACACAAATACCTTGGGTTTTATCTACGGGCGCATGCCGGGCATCGTAAGTGGACAGTAACACGAATGTAGTGACCATCTCCTATCATATGTGGATAGGTCAAAACCTCGAAAAAAAACAGCTCATTTGGATGGAATACACATCCATTCACCAGCTATTTTAGGATCACCAGGGGTGACCCATAGCCCGCGCCCGCATCCTCAGGCCCGGCTGCTGCTGCGTGGAGAGTCCTCCAGACCGCCGGCTCCAAGGCCTTGGGGGCCTTGGGGTTGGGTTTAAACCATGGTATCATCAATGTTGGATTAATGTTGGACATACTTTTGATGGCATTTTTTTGCATTTTTTACTTTTCACATCTTTTCACGATCTTTTGTTTGGATGTGATTTTGAACCAAAGCCCTGACACCAGGAATTTTGGATGAAAAAATGGCTCCGGCCGTTGGGGGGAAAGCCCTCGATTTGCTGAGTATTGTGACACATATTTGCTTGATATATCTTGATATTTTATTGGAGGTCCATGAAATCAGCAAGAAAATCGTAGATACACTCTTTGCATCACAAAATCACATACCATCACTTTGAAATGTTTTTTATTTTATCTTATTTTACTCTTTACCAATCTTTAGCCACAAGAAGCAGCAGAACTCAGTCTCCAAAATATTGTTATTGCCTTTTTTTCCATCCCAAATTCAAAGTTTCTCCATTTTCTTCAAAGGGCGCCTCATCCTCGCCGCGCGGAGCGCGACCGCGAGCTGGAGGATGCGCTGGAGAAGGCGATGGGGCTGGGGTAAGATCCATAGATCTTAGATGAGAATCCTCTGCAAATTTTGACCCATATTTTGGTGCCAGGGCATAGAATCCATAGAATCTTAGGGCATATTTTGGTGGTGCCAGGGTTTTGACCCATAGCCTCATCTGTGGGGAAAGAACATGTATGCTGAATAGGGTGAAGGGATGTGAAAACCAATGGGTTTTGAAGAGACTTGGGCAATGAAAGGGAATTTTAACCGACAATCATGTACAACCAAAAGGGTTTGAAGGGGCGACAAACATTGTACGAAATTCATGTACTAAGGGGGACAATCACCCAAGTAACGTGTTTCTTTAATCCATGGGCGGCAAGCCTTTTTTTGTTTCTACGGTTTCTACTACACACTTAAAACCAGCGCTTTGAGTCAGTGATTTCGAGCATCATGAACCACACAGTTTGCCACCTGGTCATGGTCCCATTTCTTTCGATGCTCCCATGTGAGCTTCCTGGAACACCCTATTTACTCATTCAACATCACTCAAAGACGTTTGAAGCAAGGTCAAGTTTCAAAGAACTTCGGAGTTCCGTTCAAGAAAGTAGGGCCCGGTAGATTTCGGATCTGTATGTAACATATAATAACATATATATATATATATTATAGAAAAAAAGACTTTGGCCTCGCCCCTGGCCGCGCATGGTCGCCAAGGCAGACTGGTTCCGACGCGAGATCCGACGCATGCGACAGGCACCAGATGGTTTTGTCCGAAAAGACAGATATACCATGGTATAGCAGTATAGCAGTATCAGTATCGTTCAGTAGCTCCAAATTTGTCACTTAAAAATCTGAGTCGAGCTTTTTTCAAGATTGGCTTTGGGGGTACTTTTCCTTTTCCTTTTCAAAGAAACCCAGATAATTACTATATACTATATGATACTATCCAATACATTTATTAATTAACCCAGTCGGACACCAAAACGCCATGTCACCCCACCTTGGCAGTGCCTTTCGACAGGAGCTGGAATCTAGGGACCATTATCCTTCCTCAAATCCTTGGGATTCGAGGGACAAAGATCCCATGGAGTTCCGAGGCGGCAGATGAGAAAAGAAGCCAGTTAAAGTCAGCCTGGTTGAAAAAGGTTCGAGATAGGGGATTATGAACTAGCCCTAATAGGATTGGGACACCTATCAACCAACTAGTTTAATGAGAGATAGGGGGTATTTTTAATGGCTCACGTGGAAGAATTCACTCTTGGAGCCGGACTCTGCCCTTCATAGATTTAATATGTGTCTATATATATATATATTATTGGATACGTCGTAGGGCATGGGTTGCCTCACCCGATGAGTCTTGATTCCCTTGCCATTCGTTCTTGCTTTAGTATCTCTCTGCTCGACTCAATGTCTATGAACATCTATTGAAATTGCTTGTTCAGGATTCCATTTCAACATCTTTAAATCATTGTCATTTAAAGTAATTGATCCATATGAAATCACATTCAAATATATTAAAATGCCATTTTCAAATCCCATAACCATGGTGTTTCCGCCAGTTTCCGCCATCTCAGGCTCTACAACCTCCTGGCCGAGAAACGAAAAGAGCTGCAGCAGCTGCAACGTGTCACTGAAGGTCTCGAACACGCAGCTGAGGCGAACAGAATCGCTGAGAAATGGTCAAGAAATTATTTGGTCATAATGGTTATAATGGTTAATGGTTATATTAATAGTAATTTATAGTAATTTATTAATTTATTGTAATTTACAGTAATTTATAATGGTTATAGCAACTATATAGTAATTTAAGCAATGGTTATTTAATGGAATTATAGTTGCAGTTAGAAAGTTAACATATAATGGTCAATCATGTTGTTGATCATGGTAAATGACTTCACAATCACTGAGCGTGAAGTTACATGAACCTATCAGGTACAATAAAAGTTAAGATATCATCCAACTACATTTCCCCTAGCCTTTGGCTTCCTCGTGACGCACCGAAACTCGGGCACCAGGTGCAACGAAAGGCGGAGAGCGAACAGAGCTTCGTTCGCCCAGAGATTGAGGAGCGCCTGCAGAAAGCGAAACTGGAGGCGGGTTTTTTCGGGCCGCGGATGATGTTACACATCCAACAGATTCCAACAGGAATTTCAGACGTTTTTTTTAACGAAGATGTCATTGTAATTCATGATATAAATATTAGATAAACAATGAAATGGTCTAGCTACATTGCATGGTTTGCCCCCATTTGTCCAGCTTAGCGATTAACACGGGGCTGGTTTTTTTCCAGCTTGGACTTGGGCCTGAAAGGGACCTGAAAAATGCCACACATCGTGCGGGTGGAAGACGCCCAAAGTATCCTCATTTCATCTCATTTCTGAAAGATTCAAATGTCAGACGCGGGGTACTTGGATTACTTTGGATTACTTTGGATTTTTGAACTATTGAATTGTGGCTTAAATTTTGTACGGTGCACTGTGCACCAAGTCACCAAGATTAGATACTCCCATTCTCCCCGGCACGGCGAGGTGGAGCAGCAAAAGAGGCTGAATGTGAAGCTTCAAGCAGACAGGCTTACGGCCTGCCTTGATGGCTGAAAATGCCATAGAATTCAGGGCACTCCAAAATCGTTAAAGATGTTTGCTTCTTTGAATAGGTATACTAAGTATACTATGAAAATCCAAAGGTCTTGTACAGCCATGGCGACCAAGATAGATTTTGGTGAGCAACATCCAAAAGGTCTCCACTGGAACCTTGTGGCCATGGACCCCTCCTTTTGAACTCATGATACCTCCACAATGCTCAAGACTTAGAACCAAGCGCTTGAGGTTGAACATGACACCTTACAATGGGCTATCTATCTCTACTTGTCAAATCTTGTCAAATCATGATAGTAAAATGCTGTAAACCCAATATCAAACAACCCCGCGGTGAAGCCCCTTCTCTGTGCCAGCCTTTCTGTGCATGAGTTCTTTAATCGCTTGCTGATGCGCCACACATCTTGATTCTTTTTTTCAAACACGCCCCTTTGGGGGAAAAAACGTGTAGGTGTTTCCTGTGGAAATAAAAATCCATATTGAAACTAGTGTGTTTGTGCTTTCACTTGATATCTAACGGTGTTTCTTATGTTTTCTTTACATGGTCATAGACCATAGAATATCATGGTAATCAATATAGATTCTATAGATGGTGAGTGAGTATATGGATGATTATTATGGATGGTAAGTAATTTTGTTTACACTGTTACACGTAAATATCAGGGATATACATGGTCAGTGTTTGACCATCGATCGATCTTTAGGGTGATCCCAAAGGACCCAGCCACCGCAGGCTAAAGCTTTCGAACCAGCGCAAGGCCGTGGAAGAAGATCTGCGGAAAGTGGGCAGCGAACTTCGGAGCAAGGTGGGAGACGGTTTGGGGATATATATATAATATAATATATATATATGATAATATATATATATATGATATATGATAATATATATATATATATATGATATATGATAACATATATATATATGATATATATATATATCTACATGATATATATATATATGTATGTGTGTATAGTGGATAACAAGCATCAGCTATATGTATTTCGTCTGTAGTTCCACAAACAACCGTGCGGGGGGAAAACAGGACGGTATTTTGACCATTGCAAGTCACCATCCCTTGCGTCTGTGAGCTATTTTTAGGCCAAACAAATCATCGAAAATCAGCATGATTTTTTGAACAATTCGCGTTTTACCACAGTTTTGGAACCCCTTGGTTTGTCAACTTCACTTTTTGCTCTCGTTTTCGCTTGCTTCTTCAGTTTCTTGGCTGTCGCTCGCAGCACGCAGTCCCTGCTGTGCTTTGAATGCCATTGCCATATCAATATTGCCATTGCCGCACATAGGCCAGCAGATCTTTGTTGATCTTGCCATTCTTTTTGGTATGAGTCCCCGCTGGAAGCTCATCTTTGATTTTCTTCCACGTGCAATCGAAGATCTTGTTAAAGTAGCATGAAGATAGTGCGTATGTGCAAGAGAAGATCTTGTTAATGTAGCATGAAGATAGTGCGTATGTGCAAGAGAAGATCTTGTTAACGTAGCATTAAGATACTTGCAAGTGCAAGAGAAAATTTTGTTAACGTAGCAAGAAGATACTTACAAGTGCAAGAGAACATTTTGTTAACGTAACAAGAATATACTTACAAGTGCAAGAGAAGATCTTGTTAACGTAGCAAGAAGATACTTACAAGTGCAAGAGAAGATCTTGTTAACGTAGCATGAAGATACTTGCAAGTGCAAGAGAACATCTTGTTAACGTAGCAAGAGGATACTTACACGTGCAAGAGAAAATCTTGTTATATAACATAGCATGAAGATAGTGTGCAAGTGAACTTGAACGTTAATAACCCCCAACCCCACCCCACCCACCCCACCCTGTTGTATGCAGTTGTTAACGTAGCATGAACATATCGTGCCAGATCTTGTTACTGTAATGTTGCATGCAGATAATGTGCATGTGCAAGAGAAATCTTGTTAACGTGGCATGAAGATAGTGTGCAAGTGAACATGAACGGTTGCAACCCAAACCCCACCCCACCCGAGCAAAAACAATGAAACATATTGTCCGATTTCCCCCCCGCTAGGACAAAAAAAGGTTGAGATATATAACCATGCAGAGTTATCGGGACCTCATATCCAAACTCATGCAGGTTATCACAATGGTTATACCCCTTCGGTATCTTCGGTTAGAGCCCCAAGCACACCATCAAGTGTGGAGACATCTACAGTTGAATTCGCATAGTTTGCATGATTTTGCATGTTCAGATTTGGGTTCCTGCAAATTTCTCATCCAATTCCGAGAGATAAGAACTATAGTTACTGCTTGATCCGCCGTGACTCACTTTGGTGCAAGTGGGGTGATGCGGAGTGATGAATGGCTACTGAAACCACAATGGGATGGGAACAAGCTGTTTGTTTATGGTATAACCAAACTGTTTCTTGTTAAGTCCTGTCATTATGATCATATAGCCACTGATACAGCGAGTTTCTTGAGTTTACCACGGGAGAATCCACCGAACATTGGGGGTCCTTCAGCAAATTCAAGAAACACATGGTAACATGGTAAGAATGTTTACCACCTGATAATGTAACATATCTATATAATTTACAATCATACATAGATAAGTCATCGATCAATGGGCCATTGTCATCATTTGTCATCCATAACATTGTAGCTATGTGAAATTGCGGGCAGCAACAGAGAATTCATCAGATTTCATCCTTCATAGGATCACCCGCTGCCAGGGTGCGTTGCTTCACCGAAAAGGCATTGCAGGTGAGAAAGGCCGGTGGCTGAAGGAAGTTCCCATGGGAGTCGGGAATTTCCCTTGGAACTTAGATCTTGTGGCGGTTTAGATGATTTGTTTAGACATCACAAATCTCCAAGTAGGAGTTTAGATGAAGTGTGGGAATCTGAGGTTTGCATCATTTGCATCTGTTTTTTTTGAAGGTGGATAGGTTTGGTGGTCATTTGTTGCTGGTGCTGACTTAGAAATTGATGCCCCTTCCAACAGAATTCCCTCTGGTGGTCAGGCGACAAATCTGTCCTGGAACAGTTGCGCCTGAAGCTCAGAAGCTCAGTAGATCCATAATAGTCATTTGGTATTTCTACAAATGGGCGATATCTCATTGCCAAAAATAGGAGTGTAGCTAGGAAGAAGAGTTGGAGATCCGTCCTTGGGTGCTTGGTTTGGAAGATGATTTCCCTTGAGCAAATGGCCGCGGTTCGTGCCCCTTGGCAAGCCATTTCTAAAACGGGAGAGATGACCGTCAGTACTTCATAGTTTCTCAGACTTGTAAACTAGACTCGAATTGGGGGCGTTGTTCCACTTACTTGTATAAGTGGGGATATATATATATATATTACACTGGTTGGTGGTTTGGAACATTTTCTATGTTTCCATATCTTGAGAATAATAACCCCAACTGACGAACTCATATTTTTCAGAGGGGTAGGTCAACCACCAACCAGTATATATATATATAACCATAGTATACCAAAGTCAAGTTACACGGGCCTCATATCCCAACTTATGGAGCTCATAGCCATGGGTTTACTTCTCCAAGCCATTTACTTGTAACTGTTGCCACTGGACATCAAGATGTGTCTTCTAAACCTTCAAACGCTGACACAATCTCGGTACAGAGTAAATCCGTACTACATACATTCAGACAGACATACATGCAGTCATGCAGTCATGCATCCATCCATCCATCCATCGATCCATTCATCCACCCATCCATCCATCCATCGATCCATCCATCCATCCACCCATCCATCCATCGATCCATCCATCCATCCTTCCTTCCATCCTTCCATCCTTCCATCCTTCCATCCTTCCATCCTTCCATCCTTCCATCCTTCCATCCATCCGTCCGTACATACATCCATCCATCCGTACATATGTTACCTATATGCATGCATGCATGCAGACATACCTACCTACGTGGGTACGTACGTACGACCATGCATGCAAGCATGCATCCTTTCATCCATACATATTGTAGGGCTTCGCACACCGGCGATGCCCCAAGGGTTGTTGGCGTTGCCCAGAATGTCGCCCCCTTTCTCTTCTGTTTTTTTGTTGTTGTTGTTGTCGTTGTTGTTGTCGTCGTTGTTGTTGTTGTTGTTTCTGCTGCTGCTGTTGCTTCTGTTGCTGCTAATGTTTCTGCTGCTGCTGCTGCTGCTGCTGGTCGCGCAGCCGGGGTCGGAGGACATACGTACATACATACATACATACGTACATACATACATACATTCATACATTCATACATTCATACATTTATACATTCATAGATTCATACATTCATACATACAGACACATACATACACATACATATACATACGTATACATGCATATACATACGTATACATACATATACATATACATATACATATACATATACATATACATACACATATACATACACATACACATATACATACACATATACATACACATATACATACACATATACATTATACGTACATATACATACATATACATACATATACATACATATACATACATATACATACATATACATACATATACATACATATACATACATACACATACAAACATACATACATACATATACATATACATATACATATACATATACATATACATATACATATACATATACATATACATATACACATACATACATACATACATACATACATACATACATACATACATACATACATACATACATACATACATACA